CTTGCCGATTCGCGCTGTTCCTCCGCTATTCTGGACGGCATTAAACATTTCCTGGAGGTCCACACCTCAGACCCCACCCTTCTCCCTCTCCATGGGAGGCGCTGAAGGCAGTTTTGAGGGGACTCTTCATACAACAGGGCTCCAGGTTGAAGAAGGAACGCTCCAGATCAGTCAGCAAGGCCATCCAATCCCTCACAGACCTGGAAACCCAGCACAAACGCACGCCTTCGTCAGAGCTCTTATTGAGCATCTCTCAAGCCCGATTGAAACTCCTGGGGCTCCTTGACTTATCCACACGTACCTATCAGAACAAATTGGCATCCAGGGCCTGTGGGTCTCAAGACAAATGGAGTAGGGCGCTGGCCTGGATTCTTCACCCCCGCCCTGCCCCAGCTTATATCCCGCATATCAGAACCGAGTTGGGTGCTCTTGAGCACTCCCCTTTGGAAATCCAACATACCTTCCCAGATTTCTATGCCTCTCTATACAATCTCCCGGGATCCGCCGCATCTTCTTCCATCCACGACTTACAGGTGTCGTCCTATGTCCAGACCACAGCCCTCCCGGAGTTGGCGGACTCAGAGGCAGAGGCCTTGGAATCGCCCTTTGCAATGGAGGAACTGTTTTTGGCTCTTCGGTCGACACCGGTCGGCAAGAGCCCCGGGCCTGACGGGTACACGGGCCTTGGAGGCCCATATTTCCCTAATACAAAGACCATTCTCTACGAATTTTCGAATCTCGTTGATCAATGTCAATGTGAAACTGTTTGCCAAACTGGTTGCCAACCACCTTTTAGCCTCTTCTCCCGGAGGTGATCCATCTCGACCAGGTATGGTTTGTCCGGGGTCGGGAGGTGTGGGATAACACCATTAGGGCTGTTGTTTGATGCATTATGCCCAGACCTCCAATACCCCCCTCTGCCTCCTGTCAGTGGATGGGGATAAGGTGTTTGACCACCTGGACTGGACCTTCCTTAAGCAGAGTCTGCTGCAACTGGGCAACCGCCCCAATATGTTGAGAAACATGATGGCTTTATATTCTGGCCCATCGACTAGGGTCCGCGTCAATGGCTCCCTCTCTCCTAGTTTTCAGATTTCCAATGGCACACGCCAGGGTTGTCCATTGTCCCCCCTCCTTTATATACTTACAATGAAGCACCTGGTGGTCACTCTCTGCCAGAAACCCATGTTCCAGGGCATTTCGGTGGACACACTTAGGTCCAAGCTTGCCCTGTTTGCGGAAGTCCTACTGCTCTACATCACTCAGCCTCATATTGCACTGCCTACTATTATGCAGAAATTTGCTCTTTACGGCTCTCTAAGCAATTTTAGAGTTAATATTTCCAAGTCGGAGATACTCAATGTGTCCCTGTGATCGGAGGCCCTTCATTGAACTGGCTGGTAACTACTCCTTTAGGGTTTGCACCACTTCTTTGAAATACCTTGGCGTACAACTTCCTACTGACCTGACTGCCCTGCACTCTCTGAACTTCCGGCCCTTGCTGGAGAAGACGACCCAGGACCTCGCCTTGTATGACCACAAGTTTCTTTCATGGCTGGGCCGTATTAATGTGCTTAAAATGGACATTGTCCCTAGGTTTTTATACCTATTCCAAACTGTGCCCATCGATGTCCCAGCTGTATACCTTAGGCAAATCCTACGGGTATTCACGAAGTCTGTGTGGGGCACGTCTCGCCCCCGGCTCTGTTATAGGACGCTGGTGGTGCCAAAGCTTAGAGGGGGCGCAAGCGCCCAAGACATCTTTCTTTATCACTCTGCTGCGGCCCTGGTCCACTTAGTGGATTGGTTCCACCGTGCCAAGGATAAACAGTGGGTCCGCTTAGAGCAGTGGTTCTCAACCTTTCTAGGGCTGGGACCCCTAGGTAACATTTGCCAAGTTGTGGTGACCCCCAACGGTAAAATTTAGGGTTGACGCGGCTGCTGGAGCGACATCTGGAGGCGTGGCGGGAGAACTGACACTGCTGCGTTAGGAGAAGGCTGAGGAGGACTCTTTCCGAGCACAGCAGAAATCACACAGCGACCCACAGGTTGAGAACCACTGTTGTAACAGCTAAAATGGCAAACCATATAACACAAGCCGAGGGGGTCAGCTTTTATTATTATTAATAATAATGATGATAATCTAATAGTGGGAGACTCCCGGCGACCCCTGGCAAATTGTCATTCGACCCTCGAAGGGGTCCCGACCCACAGGTTGAGAACCACTGGCTTAGAGGAAGTAATTGCGGGCATCGACCTGTTGGCCCTACCCTGGATAGCCCCTGGGTCTAGACCGGTGCACTTCTCTCTCCTGTTTCTGACTGCCCACGCCTTGAAACTGTGGGATCGCTGTGTGGCTCGTTACAGTGTTTCTTCCTATGTGGGGTCCATGACCCCTTTCTTCGGCAACCCTGCTTTCCCTCTGGCATTGTCCGGTTCCTCATTTGGGCGTTGGACTAGGGGTCCACATCGTCGATTGGTCTCAGCTCTGACAGACCTTCATGAGGTGGGAGGGGTCCATTCCGACACGGTTTGAGGGACTTGGCTGGCTTATAGACAATTCAATCCTTTGTATCCACCTTCCCCAATGTAGATGTCTTCGGTGGGACCCCCACAGCCTTTGCCTCTCTCCTTTTGGCCTCTTTACCTCCGACCCATTCGGTCTCCCTTCTCTACACTCCTCTCCTCCCCTGCTCTGCCGGTCTACTCCTCTGTGTGGGAATGGGAGTTGGGGGTACCCCTAGTGGAGTTGGGGGTACCTGGTCTGGGTTAATTGAGAATATATATATATTTTGTTTGCACATATATATATTCTGTCATAGGTCTCATTTTGTTACTACTGTTTCACTCACACAGAGAAATTTTTTTGGATACTTTATTATACACAGTGAGTTTGATACTTTATTGCATTTTCCTTTCTATATACCCCTAGTTTGAATGTAACACTGTGAGACTTTTAGCGCTGTATTCTGCACTAATTAACCTTTAAGGCTCACCGCCTAAGTTCAGCAGCTTCTAGTTAATCCGGTTTTTCTCCTTTCTTTTCCTTCCATAAGCGCAAGTTCTGTTTCTTCATTGTCTCTGATTCCTGTTGGCGCTGCAATAATTCCCTGGGTCATATGACCCACATCTGGTGTAGTTGCCCTTTGGTCCGGGGATTTTGGCAGGCTGTGCTGGAGGTGTACCTCAGAGTGACAGGTGTTACAGTGGCAGACGACCCTAATATACTGTTGCTATCTATGCTGCCCGGGTTGCTTGAGTCGGCAAAAAAAGGCCTCTTGCAACACTTTCTCACGGCTGCTAGAACGGTCATTCCGCGCCATTGTCGAACACCGGTGGTCCCTTCCCTGGCTGAATGGGCTGTGGAAATGGACCGTATAGCTGATCTGGAGGGTCTTCTGGCTGAGGAACGTGATGCTGGATCTCAATATGTACACGTATGGTCTGCCTGGATCACCTTTCTTTCATCCTCTTCTTTTTTTGTTTCTTTTTAAATGTTTTCCTTTTCCGTTCCCTTGGTCCTTTTTTGTAGTTGTTTCGCCTTCCTTTTATACACTGCTGACCATCCCAGGGCATTGCAGTGTCTAACGGGGACTTGCTTTAACATTACCTGTGAAGAGGGGATGTACCCTGGGGGGTTTAGTTACAATTATTCTACATGCTATTTCATACATTCCCAATGTGATTATCTTGTTACTGTACGTTTTTTTACATGATATATCTAGTCCCAGCCCTAATGTTCACATCTTCCGTTGCCCTACTTTCCTATACACTTTTAAGTGTACTTGTAATGTTTTTGCCTTTGTTGGTGTTCTTTCTATGTTAAAATGTTTTGAGGTCTCATTCAATGAGACCTCAAGAGACTATTGGTCATTGAACTTATCACAGCTTCATACTTGGATCATGGTTGTGAATTTACAAAAAGCAGGTTTATACCTTGTATGGTTATTTTTGCTGACGATCTCTTTAGAGTTTGCTCAACCATGGTTTGAGGGATGATTTTATCTTATTTTTTATATGTGTAATATAAGAATTTTTAATTACATAGTGATGATATAGTTTATCCTTTATACAAAATGTCTAGTAGTCCTGTGTGGAGTATGATACTATTAAAGCCCCAATTTTGTTGATTTGTTTAATTGCCATTCAAAGTAATGATGGAGTGACAGCAGCCATATCTTTTCGTGGCTGTCTGCATATGATCGCACATGATATGATTTCCTGCGGATTGGTAGAGATGTGTGTCCCGGGATGCAGGCTCTCTGCCCTCTCCCCCTTTTTTTTGCTTATCAATCTGGGGGCCCAGGCAGCCCTGTGCAGGCTGATACTGTAATTTTATTGTCAGGAGTGTGGGCAAAAATGATTAAATAGTCCCCTCTCTCCCCAGGCCCCATCAGTTCAGCAGAAGGTAGGAGAGCGTGAACTATTTAATAATTTTTGGCCACACTCAGGCAATCCTGGGAGCCATGACTCAGGACAATTAAATACAAGTTTAATCTTGGGCATGGCAGCCAGGGCTGGCAGATTGATATCCAAGCCTTATCCTTACCTTTCCAACACCCCATTCATTTCGGCCACTATCTATAGACAAAGCTCCACACAAGTGGCTCACTTTTCATAAGGATTACACTTTGTTCATATGCTTTAATACCACACAATGTAAATCCCCAATACCACTTAGTTCATGAACATTTAAACCACTGTATACTATTTTTCTACAATGCAATACTTCTGCTCTAACTTGTTGGAATATTCACTATTGGATCTCTTTGACCACTACTGCACACTCTGTTTTATGATGTGTGTGATAACATAAGAATTAAAAATATATATTATACAAATATTGAAAAAAGAAATAATGCATACATTTATTGTATACATTTATTACCACAGGATTGTCTAGAATATGCTGTCATGTTCAACTCTGACAATTATTTTTCCTGCCAAATTCAAATTGCTCCCGTGAGAGGTAGTTGATTCCACTTTCTTTTTCTTTTTAGGTGAACACCAGATGGAGCTTTTGGATTATGTAGCAGCTAAATTCCATGAAGAAGCTGGTGTTTTTAAGCTTTTGGTAAATACTAAATCTATGATAATGAATACCTGTTTAAAACCTTTATAATGATATTTAGTACACTAACTAAGGAATGTATATTAGTGTTTAAAGATAAGTGCACAAAATTACAAATTACTGAGAAACCCCAAAAACTGGGGATGCAACGATAACACCAATAGAACGAGTACTGATACTTTTCCTCAAGTACTCACCGATATCAATTACTGATACTTTTTTTCTTAGTGTCATGTGACAGTTTTTCTAAAATAATAGAGACTAATGATTTTAAGACAGCAGTAGAGCGCCAGGGCCCGGTCGCAGATGTGACAGCTGCGACCCTGATAGTTGTGCCACTGACTCCAAGCTGTAGAGGGACAACAAATCCCGGCAATACAGTATATAGCAATGCAGAATACCACCAGCCGTAGAGGACTACAAATCCCAGCAACACATTATACAGCAATGCAGAATACCACCAGCTAGAGCACTACAAATTTCAGCATTACATTATACAGCAATGCAGAATAATACCATCAGCATAGAGGACTACAAATCGCAGCGCTACATTGTACAACAATGCAGAATAATATGAAGCTAGATACCCTGTGTTGCTTACCAGGGCTGTTCGGGGTCTCAGGAGGCTGTGTTCGGTATGACCAGAGCTGTGTGGGGTCTGACCAGGGCTTTGCAGGGTCTAATCAGTGCTATATGCAGTCTCACCAGGGCTGTGTGCGGTCTCACCAGGGCTGTGTGCGTGCTGGCAGATTGATATCCAAGCCTTATCCTTACCTTTCCAACACCCCATTCATTTCGGCCACTATCTATAGACAAAGCTCCACACAAGTGGCTCACTTTTCATAAGGATTACACTTTGTTCATATGCTTTAATACCACACAATGTAAATCCCCAATACCACTTAGTTCATGAACATTTAAACCACTGTATACTATTTTTCTACAATGCAATACTTCTGCTCTAACTTGTTGGAATATTCACTATTGGATCTCTTTGACCACTACTGCACACTCTGTTTTATGATGTGTGTGATAACATAAGAATTAAAAATATATATTATACAAATATTGAAAAAAGAAATAATGCATACATTTATTGTATACATTTATTACCACAGGATTGTCTAGAATATGCTGTCATGTTCAACTCTGACAATTATTTTTCCTGCCAAATTCAAATTGCTCCCGTGAGAGGTAGTTGATTCCACTTTCTTTTTCTTTTTAGGTGAACACCAGATGGAGCTTTTGGATTATGTAGCAGCTAAATTCCATGAAGAAGCTGGTGTTTTTAAGCTTTTGGTAAATACTAAATCTATGATAATGAATACCTGTTTAAAACCTTTATAATGATATTTAGTACACTAACTAAGGAATGTATATTAGTGTTTAAAGATAAGTGCACAAAATTACAAATTACTGAGAAACCCCAAAAACTGGGGATGCAACGATAACACCAATAGAACGAGTACTGATACTTTTCCTCAAGTACTCACCGATATCAATTACTGATACTTTTTTTCTTAGTGTCATGTGACAGTTTTTCTAAAATAATAGAGACTAATGATTTTAAGACAGCAGTAGAGCGCCAGGGCCCGGTCGCAGATGTGACAGCTGCGACCCTGATAGTTGTGCCACTGACTCCAAGCTGTAGAGGGACAACAAATCCCGGCAATACAGTATATAGCAATGCAGAATACCACCAGCCGTAGAGGACTACAAATCCCAGCAACACATTATACAGCAATGCAGAATACCACCAGCTAGAGCACTACAAATTTCAGCATTACATTATACAGCAATGCAGAATAATACCATCAGCATAGAGGACTACAAATCGCAGCGCTACATTGTACAACAATGCAGAATAATATGAAGCTAGATACCCTGTGTTGCTTACCAGGGCTGTTCGGGGTCTCAGGAGGCTGTGTTCGGTATGACCAGAGCTGTGTGGGGTCTGACCAGGGCTTTGCAGGGTCTAATCAGTGCTATATGCAGTCTCACCAGGGCTGTGTGCGGTCTCACCAGGGCTGTGTGCGGTCTCACCAGGGCTGTGTGCGGCATCTCACCAGGGCTGTGTCCAGCATCTAAGGAGGCTGTGCGGGGTCTCGCCTGTGCGGATGGCGGGAAGGAGGAGATGTGCGGCAGGCAATGTAAACAGCGCAGCTCAGTGCATAGGGTTGACATGCCGAGATGAAGTACCTCCCATGTACTTTTTTTTAACTACCAGTGGAAAGCCACTATACAAATAGTCATGTGAAAAAGAAAGTATACCTTCTTTGAACTCTATGATTTTAAGTATTAGGACATATTAAAGTATCAGGACATAATACAAATCCTCTGGTTCACAGTAGGTCTTACCATTAGGTAAATACAACCTCAGATGAACAGGAACACATAACATATTACACTGTGTCATTATTTATTTTACAAACATTAAGCCAAAATGGAGAAACCATATGTGAAAAACTAAGTACACCTTATGATTTAATAGCTTGTAGAACCACCTTTAGCAGCAATAACTTGAAGCAATCATTTTCTAACTTTATCAGTCTCTCACATCATTGTGAATTAATTTTGGCCCACTCTTCTTTATAATGCTTCAGTTCATTGAGATTTGTGTGCATTTGTTTACGCACAGCTCTTTTAAGGTCCTGCCACAGATTGGCAGAACAGTGAGTACACTGGCTTTTTTGCCAGTTAGATGTGAGTTCCGGCTAGCTGAATACTGGATAACAGAGTTTACTGTATTTCTTTACATTTTTTTCCAAGCAAATACAATTCTCTAAGCTCCGCTTCCCAAAACTGCCTGTCCAGTACAAGATCACAAGCATCAGCACAGTCTCCAGCAGCTGTCCATCTACTAGTTTGGAAAAGGGAGAAGGAAGGAAGGAGGGGTAGGGGGAGGAGAAGGAAGCAGGGAAGTGATTTGCCTTCCTGTGCTGTGTGTTTGTGGAGACTCACATAGCTTACTTGCACAAACAAGGGTGACTCCATAGGAACCTTGCAATGGAAAGGACCCACCATAAAACAGCATATTGGGACAAATGCTTAGGGTATCAGATGATTCTGCAGGAAACTAAGGGGGTTATCCACAAAGCTGCCAAAGGCAGCCAAGTGAATAACCCAGCCGAAGTGAAGTGAGCCGAATTACGTTCGGCTATCCATTCCGGCTCAGTACGGCTGATTTTAGACGTACATCGGCTGAAATCAGCTGTACATCGGCTGCCTTCGGTCAGCCGAACATGCTCTGCAAGGCATGCTGTAAGACATGCTCTGTAAGGCACTTTTCACACTCTGTTCTGGTAACAAGTTATGTTCGGCTGAGCCGAAGTGCAGAGGGACTTCGACTCAGCCGATCCAACATCTGGAAAAAAAAAGTATATATATATATACAGTATATATTGTATAATTTTTTTTAAAGGGGAAAAAACTATTGGGCGGAGCTAGCGGTGCGATGACAGCTAGCACTGCCCAACTGTTTCCTACTGGCCAGCACCTGCCAGAGTTTTCTAACAGGTACCAGCCAATGAATAACAACTGGGCGGAACCGACCCCCAGCTGTCATTTGCGTGGAGATCTGTCTGCTTCGGCCAACCTATCTCCACGCTACGGCTCAGTGGAGCCGAAAGCATATGCCTTTGGCTCGGCTGAGCCGCTCGGTTCGACTGAACCGAAGGGCAGAGGCGGCCAAAGAGAGCCGAAGGATCAGCCGAAGCTACTGCTGGATCTTTCAGGCCTTTAGTGAATAACCCCCTAAACCTTTTAAACATCAAGGAACAGCATCCATGCAATGTGATTTAACCCTTTCCCTGCCACCGACGTAAGGCATACGGCGGAACAAAAGTGTTCCTGGCTGGCCAGCTCAGTATGCCTTACGTCGGTGGCATTTACAGTTCTGCTATAAGCTCATGGTCGATTTAGTGACCATAAGCTTAGAGCAGAACTGTTCAGCAGACTGTACCCTTCAAAATAATAGCTGTCATCAGCGGCTCACAAGCCGCTGATGACCGCTATTACCGAAAATACCGGGCGCGCCCCCCCCCTGCCGGTAGTGATCGGAGCCGCTGTCATCCTGTCAGTTTTTGGATGACAGCGGCTCTGTAGCGTAGCCGAGCGGGGGATCGTTAAATATCATTGATATTTAACGGTTGATTTTGGTGTGTTTTAACAATTGAATTGTGTATTTTTATCGGTTTAATATTAATTTGAGAAACATTTGCGCAATTATCGCAGGGCCTACAAATTTAGTATCACCATCTTTTTATTCTACCGGGCCTGCGCTTTCAGAAAATATATGGTTTGGGGGGTCTTTTACAAACGCTAGCAACACAGCAGTTGAAAATCAAATCAATAGGAAAAAATTGCAAAAAATGCAAAAATGGCTTGGCCAGCTGATTTGAAAAATGTTCCGGAGGGCTTGGCAGCGAAAGGGTTAATCAGCATTTTGAAATATCTTTAAAACCTTTTGATTTTAATATCACTTTTATTACAACATAGTATTTTTATATATTCAGATTATTGATTCCATCATGGCTCTTTTTCGAGTGGATTTCAGTGGTCGAGGTGAGTTAGCTGAGAGGCAGCAGAAACTAGCTCAGATGCTGTCTAGGCTTCAGAAAATCTCAGAAGGTAAGGATATTTGTTTTATCCTATGTAGTCTATTTAACATAGCCAGACAGCATTGGCAGACAGACCATTGAAAGGGTTAAAATAAAAAAATATATATTTATTTCTCATCTATTAAGAAGGAAGTCTTTAACCTTCAGGTCATACTGCCACCTACAAGAGGATTGGACATTGGCAAACAAAAACAACTGTAGGCTAGGCCAGCATAAAGGTGGCCATACACTTTACAACCATCGCAAGACCTTAGTGAAAAGAGAAGGGAACCAAAGAAAGGAGGGGGGAAAATAGGGAAAACCAATTAAAATATAACTAACCAAGGAGCCCAGTTTCAAAGTAGGGAACCAGTTAATTGATTTGGTCCGGGCAAACTAAGCCCCAAAATTCTTCACTCACTCTCTGTTATTGCGACACAGCCTTCGTAAGCCAGCCACGGGTCCCATGTTAACTCAAATTGTGCATCTTTATCCAGAAGAATACTCGCCCATTTTTTCGTGAGTCATGATCCAAGACAGCTTGATCTTTACTTGTCTCAATGGCACCCTGGGTGTTTTCCAGGCCTTAGCAATCGTAATTTTGGCTGCCAGGAATATGAACATTATCAGTCGTGTACAGTGTCTAGGTACCCCGGGAAGGGTATCATTAAGGAGAGCATGTGACGGACTGAATCGTCACCAGGGCTGCTGGAGGAGCCTGAGGGCTAGCCTCCTTCCTACAGACCACGGACCTAGGGCTGCAGAGATTTATTAGCCCAGAGAACTTTGTGTGCTGTGTGTTTCCAGTTTAATATTTCATCTAGAGAGAGAACTTGTCTCTATTTGCCTTGATCTGAACCATTCTTCTAAAGGCAGCAGGCTGTCTGGAGTGACCATTGTTTGCAATGATGGGATTAAGCTCCTCTCTGATTAAGGACATTCATCCCAAAGAGTGTCTGTGCTTAAAAGACTTCTAATACGGCACCTAGCTGTCTGGGGGAGGGGACACACTGAACTCTAATCTGATCCTGTCAGGTATAAACTCTGTGTGCTTCCTTCAATAAAGTCAGATCTTGGTTTCCACCTCAACATTGGTGTTGTCTAATGATTGAGAGGTTTAGCGTTCTGTCCTAATATATTGGCTCTGTCCAAAAATTAGGCAGGTTTGGGCTGATGACACTGGGATTCGGGTTCCAGCGGAGAGGAAGCTGATTTCTGACGGAGGTACCCAGTTGGGGTACCAGGCGGTCCGTCACAGAGCATACCCGGGATCTCTAGGGACACGCACTCCCGTGACCCGGAAGATCAAATTGAACACCCTTCCCCAAAATGCACGGATGCAGGGACACGCCCACCACACGTGGTACATGGTGCCCCCGAGCTCACATCCTCGAAAACATAGGGGAGATGATCCTGGATACATAAGAGCAAGTCTAGAGGGCACCAGGTACCACCTGGAGAAAACCTTAAAATTGGCTTCCATCAGTGAGACATTAAGCAGGCCCCTAGTTGTCACTCTTGAGCGACACCTCCATACCTCCTCCGGCACTTCCCTACTCAAGTCCCATTCCTAGGCCCGCATATATGGCTGTTTGGGAGGAGATTCTAACATTATGGAATACAGTAGTGAGATAGCCCCTCTTTGGTTAGTAGAGTGAAGGCACCAGCGTTCATACAGGCTGAGGCCACTACCTGGATCACTTTGTGCTGTTATCTTACGTAAAAAATTAGTAATCTGATAGTAACGAAACAACTCCGATGATGGCATGCCCAGATGCTCCCTACAGTATTCCAAATTCAGAGGTCTCCCCCTCTTAAAATATTGACCAATTCTATATAAGCCTTTGTCCAATCACCATTGGAATGATTTAGAGTGATTTCCAGGTGAAAATACCGGATTTTGATATAAAGGGGCCAGGGGAGTATGATGTGAACTGATGGTTCTATGGGTTTTTTTTTTGTAAAATAATGTATTGTTTTTCACATGTAACACAACAGTGCAAGCTATTTGTGTCCAATGTCTGTGAGTCATTTTGGTGTCACCCCTCCAATGGTGTCACCCGGGTGCGGGCCGCACCCCCCTTGTGACGCCACTGTCTGGTGCACTTATAAATCGGGATTGGAGCTGATTTAAATCCCTGCATCTTAATAACAACTGATGGAAAGGAATATAATTTCCGGAGCAGACGAATAAACTGAGTACCAAACCCCCATTCCTCTAAAAGCGTAAAGAGGACTTCCGGTTCCGGCGCCTGCCAGGAGAGTCGCACATGTGAGGAGCTCCGGTTCCCCGGGACGAATAATTCAGCGTTTTAAATCGGCCAGAGCTGCCACTGAGCTAAAATAGCACAGCAACTCGAACTCGGCCCAAAGATGGACAAGTTCATAGAACGATCCCGCGGCACACCTCGGGACCAAAATCAGACTGGGAAAAAGGGCGCGAAAACTTTACTCGAGGCTATGGAGGCCTCCCAACCGGACTCTCCACATGACTCAGATGCCGACTCGATCCCGGACCCAGGCTCCCCCAGGCCAAAATCGCTGCCGCTGTGGCCAAATTGCTGAAGCCCACTATTCAAGCCTCCATAACGGCGGCAGTGGAAGCAGCGATCACCAAGGGTATGCAATCCCTACGCCAAGACATTCTGGCGCAGACCCGCCGGGTAACGGAGGTGGAAAACAGGGTTTCTCTGCTGGAAGATGAACTGGTGGCTGCCAATTCCAAGATCCGTACACTTACCCAGCAACAATGAGTAATCTCCACGAAACTTGAGGACCTGGAAAATCGCTCCAGAAGAAATAACCTCCGCATAGTGGGCCTCCCTGAAACCTACATGCCTGCAGAGCTATTGAACCTCTGCTCCCATATCCTTCTGGACAAGCTGGGCCTTGCACGTGAATGCGTAGTAGAGAGAACGCATCGTCTGGGTCCACCTCAAGAGGAATACTCTCGCCCTCGTCCGGTGATCGTAAAATATCTATCCTATGTAGATAAATCGGACATTCTAAAGGCTTACCGCGCTACTGCGAACCTCCGCCTTGAAGAGCATAATATCCTGCTGTTTGGCGACTACTCAGCGGAGGTTAGCCGCAAAAGGAAGACCTTCTCTGAGATATGCAAGACCCTTCGACAACGGAACATACGGTTCTCACTGACGTACCCAGCGATTCTCCATATTCAACCTTTGGATGGATCTAGACATACCTTCACTACACCGCAGGAGGCTACCTCTTTTCTGGAATCCAATAATACAGCGGGCCTGGATCAACGCACACACTCGGGAAGCAAGCGGCAACGTCGGTTCTCCCCCCCTCCGGCCTCGGAGGCGATGGAACCCTCCTGAACAGAGTGAGAAGCGCTCGTGCCGCCAGGATCCTATTGCGTCCGGAGTCGACACATTCTCTTGCCCAAGCTGCCTGCTTAGTGGGCCTGCGTTGCGGATGTCGTACCCGGCAATGGCTTTCAAGTTTAAAGTTTTAAAGTTCCACGGTTTCCTTTTGTTTCTATTTTCTTTGATGGTCGGCAAATTTTCCTTACCGGTTATTTCCTCCCGGGATGTCATCGTGGGGACCATAGTGCTGAGACATGCGGTTTACGCTTCCCGGCACCCCCTACATGGATCTGACCTCGCTGTCCTTTGGGATGAACCGCAGATCATAACGCATAACTATATCCTATAACTATGTCCCGTTTTTTTTTTGTTTTTTTTTTCTATTGCCTAACTTTCTGGACTACCAGGTAGCTCTGGCCACGAAGTGTTCTCCCCCCTTTCTTTTTCCATGTGATTGACAGTCCCCAATGCTGAAACATTTCGTCTTTTTTTTTCTCGAGACTACCTTTGGCAGGAAAAATGGGAGTACCATGGCTAGTTGTTTTTTTTCTTCAAACGTTCTTCAATCCACCCAGTGTATCCACTCTGCTCCAAACGGACGGATCTCGGGTGGATTAGCGGAAGAATGGTTCTATATGTTCTATACTTGTTGCAGTTTGGTTTATTTTTTGCTTTCTTTGATTTATTGTTTTTACTCATGTATGTGCTCATCGATATCTCATATTGCGATAACCTGATGGCTGGTATTGTATACTGTACTAGATGCTCTGTACCTCTAACTTTGTTAGACACAATAACCGTATCTTGCCTGGAAAATTGGTCTATAATGACTTCAGAAATACTCCTGATGAACCATGTGTTTGAAGGTTATGGGTGGAATTTTGTGCAGGGGTGCATTACCTCTGCATCTGATATGTCCCAGCACTGTGTATATGTCTAATACAGTTAACATTGTAACGTGGAATGTGAAAGGTCTACTGTCCCCTCAGAAACGCACTAGAATATTGTGACACCTTGCTAAACTGAAAGCTCATGTTGCCCTTTTACAAGAAACCCACCTGCAACAAGTAGATTTTCACAGGATGCGAAAATTTTGGGTGGGTGAGGTCATAGGCTCTCCTTCACATGGCCGTAAGGCGGGGGTCATTATCCTTTTGCACAAGGCCCTCTCGTATACGATACTTTCTACGGACAATGATACGGAGGGACGCCTTGTGAAAGCTCGTATTATCATTGAAGGGGAAGAATACATGTTTTAAAACATATATGCAGCGAACTCTCCACCTAGCACCTTTTTTCGCACCCTGGCCTCATGGATCCTAAGTGATACGGCGACAAATAAGGGGATAGGGGGAGATGTGAACGCCGTACTGTCAGAGGATGAGGATCGGATGTCGGCTGCCACAGTGCGCGGCAGGATAACCCCCTCTTCACCCTCTCACTTGGCGCAATTCCAGTCTGATTTAAACATTTTCGATGTGTGGAGGCTGCAAAATCTGGAGGGTAGGGAATACACTTACTGCTCCCCAGTCCACGCCTCTCTTTCCGAATGTGTCGACTCCGGACGCAATAGGATCCTGGCGGCACGAGCGCTTCTCACTCTGTTCAGGAGGGTTCCATCGCCTCCGAGGCCGGAGGGGGGGAGAACCGACGTTGCCGCTTGCTTCCCGAGTGTGTGCGTTGATCCAGGCCCGCTGTA